GGAGAATGACGCCAGCTTAACCAACCAATCAATCATAATAATCCTTAACAATATTCTTCCTAGTTACATAGGTAGGTGGTCCTAATTGATATGGGTATAGTGGAATATCAGTGGAAAAGGTCTTTCCTAATTTTTCTTACAGTTGACGTATACCTTAATTCTTTGGCCAAACACGAACTGTATTATGAAAACTATAGTATGGTTTCCGTAATGTTTGCCATGTTAATGAACTTTGAAACAGATCTTCGAGGCTTGCGTGTACTGAATGAAATTATTGCCGAATTCGATGTGTTGGTAAGATAAGAGTTACGTTAAGGTAGATAAGTTATATATTTTTAAAGTTATTTTTTATATACTTATTATTCCACGACATAATTCTTATTTTCCGATGTTTAATCCCAAAACAGTTGCTGTTCTACAAGGAGTATTTTTCGGTTGAGAAAATCAAAATTGTAGGATGCACATATATGGCTGCCTGTGGCCTCGATTTGAGCTTTGCCGGTTCCACGAGTAGACCAATTGGATCGACTGGTAAGTCGTTAGGAAAATGATAAACGTTATAACCAACCTTTCAAATTACGATTTAGACACCGGCGATGCAGATGCTCCAAAACTATCCATTCGAGTGCACGAAAACGAACTCGAGGAGGTGGTCTTTGTGATGGCCTCTTTTGCCCGGGACATGATGCGCACTTTGGCCAAAAGCAACGAGATCTACCAAGGCATTCCGAGCGATCGAACCATTACAGACGGCACCATCGCCATTGGCATTTCCAGCGGTGAGGTTATGGCTGGAATTGTGGGAGCCTCTCAGCCGCACTACGACATCTGGGGAACCCCCAGTGAACATGGCCTCTCGAATGGAATCGACGGGCTTAGTGGGGCACATCCAGGTCACCGAGGAGTCCGCCAGGATCCTCAACGACTTCGGGATTTACTGCGAGTATCGCGACATGACTTTTGTAAAGGGGCGTGGAAAAATTCCAACCTTCTTGGTGAAACTTGATGAAGACCTTAACTTCATCTACATTGAACAAAAACGGACGCCAAGTCACTTGGAGCGCAGCACGGCGATATCCTTGGCATCTACGTACCAGGATAATAGCGTTTTTGGTGACTTGAAAAGCCTTTCGAATATAACTTCTCGCTTTTAAGACGACTTTGATACCAAAAAAGACTAATTTATTCCTATGGTTTTACTGATAAAATTTCGCAACAAGAACAGACCAACAAAAAATCGAAATTCATAAATATATTTTTGGCTTTTAATACTTACTGGAAGAATAACAGAAATAAATTTCTAATATTGTTTGATAACCTATAAACTTGATGTGGTTGTGTATGTATTACAATCAATTTATTGCACTTATAAAGAGAAGTCTAAGGGTTTTGCTAGAATGTCTCCCCATTTTCCCAATCCACACAGTGACATGCATTTTCCATCAAAATTTCGTAACATAATTAATGATTTCGCTAGGCCTTTCCATTAAAAGTGTCAAAAGCAAGGACGGCGGCAGCAAAAACCGAAATCAGAACCCGGCTGTTGACTAGATTTTGCCTTTTTGCCCCATTCCGCTCCGTTTTAATTGAATTAATCCCGAACCGTGTTAAAATTTTGAGTGCCGTGGGCCTGCTGATTTCGATTTGCCATGGAGTCCCCCTTCTCACGAGCAATTAAAAGGTATTTTTACAACCAATTTGGAAATATGATGGCATTTGCAGGACGAGGAAGGTGAGATCGTCCCCTTTGATGCTGATGATGCTTGTCATTGTTTTCTGTAATTGACGTGGTCTCGCCCCAGTGAAACATCAAAAAGCACGACCGACGGAAAATGCGAGGATACGCGTTAGAGAAACATCCATTTCCGGTGAAAAGCCCCCAGGATCCGTTTTCCCTTTCCGCTCGGCATAGAGTTGTTTTATCCGCACGGACACAGTCCAACTTTCCTTTGATATGTAAAACTCTCTCGACCAAATGCATGTCACCAAAAAAAAACACACACTAGCACACCTTTTAAAGTAGAAAAACGCACTGGCAACAAATTGAAACTCATGTGAGTTCCAAATGCAAATTAAAATTCGAAACCTATTTGCCCAGAAAACAGGTGAGAAAATTAAAAACAATTATTTGTTTCGATTCCAAGGGTATTTCAGGTTTTACCAGCACTTTGTATGAATCAATTAAGATTTTAAACTAAATAAGAAATTGAGTTACGCGAATAGGGACTAAACAGTTATTTCCAAATACATATTACAATTTGCGATTGCTTATCTTTAAAGAAATGTCTGCTACAGGGTATTTAGAATTTGAATTCTATTAATTAATAAATATTTATAGTTAAAATTGATGTGCGAGTTTTGTGATATCGCAGTCATTATTATTTATTTGCCATGTGCTTTTTGCTAACTTAAAACTGAATATTTTTACATGAATAAATCAAACAGCAAAAGGTAAAAAACAAGTGAAAATCGTGGAGCTTAGTTTAAAATCAACGCTGTTAATTTGGCTAAGTGGAGGTACACATTCGTGAAACATTTCAAATTTCTTGTTTTAATTAGACTAAGCGTCGTTCACATGAAAATTGAACACAAGCATAGTTAGTTACCATTTTATTTAAGGCCTTTGCATTTCCCTTAATGAACATTTTGCAGGACATGTGTTTATCCGCTTTTTGTTTCGTATTCAGATGATTACTTCAAATACCGAAGCTGGAAATGAAGACCAGTTTCTAGCACACTCAATAACAATGCCGAAAATGTTTCGATGACAAAAAGTGAGAGCAAAAAAACAAGAACGCAATCGAAATCGAGTTTCGTTCTCATGCCATTTGCCATTCCCAGAATCCAAACTAACAACATTGACTCAAGTCCGCACAAGAGTAAAAAAATAAAAAAGTAAGGATTGAACTGAAACTAAACCCTCCCAAGCTAACTAATCTTTTTTAGGGATTTCTTTCCCTTTTTACCAGTATTGTGTGTATGTTTTGCTGCCAATCGGAGCGACCAAAACGAAAATGTCATCATCAGCAGGGCTTCGGTCAGAGAATAGAACTAAACCCGACCGAAAAGTGGGAACTATCCGCCCCCACTAAGGTATGTATATATATATACATACATATATACTGCCACTCAACGTAACTTTTTATGTGCAACATAGCAGAATGATTGTGTTCCGTTCCAGAAATATCAGCACAACAAGCACGGCAACAACTCCGGCCACAGCAACAACATCTTAAGCCGTTTCGCATAAAATTTCACACACCATTTTAGCCAAGTGCCACATTACCTGCACACAAGATGGGACTCGACTCGCCCCCTTTCGTCCTTCCACACTCACAATGTCCTGTGAGCCCAGAAACCAAACCAAGAAAAGGAAAATAAAACGCTGGAAAAACGCTGAAAAAACACGAAACTGAACATAAAAAATACCTTTTGACACATGCAAGCACAACCAAAAGGGGGCGTGGCCGCAGCCAAAAGTGTTGGCCAGCTGAGCGGAGCGGAGGAGCAAAGGAAGGAAAAGAAGAAAAGGCTTAAAATCAGCGGGCAAGGACTAAAATGGCGCCAGCCAAACGAGCTGAAAAGGAAAAGAAAAATCTTGAAAATTGCATTTTAAGAAGAACTTCGTGTGGCTATAACGAAAAATCTATAAGCACATACTCATGTAAGGATATATACATATATTTGTATATGTATGTGTGTGTGTATGGCGAAGTGCGACTGAATGCAGACGATGGGAAAAGGATACAGGATAGCTCAATCTGGCACTGACTTGGGGCCACAATAGCCATTCGGTTATCCAGTTGGTCAGCAAAGCATCCAGGACCAATCCAATACAATTTTAACGGTAATGTGGACCGAAAGCGAGCGATGGCGAAATTGATATGGCCACCGAAATGGTCAGCATTCGCAGAGGTGCAGATGCAAACGAAAATATCACGTATACGCCCCGTAAACAGTGGAGCTGAAAGAAAAAGGATGGGAGAATAGCTCCGCATGCCCTTGAAACATTTCCTGAATTAGCATTATAAATAACAACATAGATTGGTTTACTTTTAGTTTAGTTTTTACTTCAGCTTTTTAGAACCCAGAAAAAGCTTAGATATAAAATATGTATATGTATATATATAATTAAGTTTTAGAATTAATTTAATATAATATTAAGTAGGATTAATTTAATAAGTTTAAATTAATGAGCCCTAAAGTTTAAACTTTTATTTTGGCTCCTTAAAGCATGTACATTAAAATGAACATCAAATTAATGTTCCTTTTGCAGTCAAACTGTATATAAAACTTATACATTTCCTCAGTTATTAATACTTTAAGAATGGCTTTCTTTTCATTAAGCCCGATCACTAAACCTCCACCATTCAACATTATATACTGCTAGAAATTCCATCTCGCTCGAGGATCAAGTGCGTTGCCATAACAATTTCCACTTCCACTCACAGCCAACCCGCTTTGGCAGAAATCTAAATCCAGAAGCGTGAAAACCAAGAGGCAACGACTACAGAATTATGGCAACAAATTGCAAACAAACAAGCAACAAACAAGTGAATCACCTTTAACGCTTCCTATGCACTTTTTGGTCTTTCGTCCTGCCACTTCACTCCACCTCCATCCTTTTCCGGCCAAAGGAACTTGGCCAATTGGGTGGCAGGGGAGAAGGGTGAAAGGTGAAAGGCACGGCGTTCGATGGGCGTGGGGGCGTGGCAGGTTTTGTCATAACTTGCACTGCCTTCAGGCTGCGCTCAAGTAAAGAGCCGGGAATGACAAAAACTGCACACAGAGTGGCAGCAGCAGACAGGTTGAACAGCTAAAGACCGAGACATGCATGTCAAAGGACAACGAATCCTGCGAGTGTGAGTGCCCTAGCTACCTGCAGAGAAAAAAATATGGTTAAATTTAATTCCATTTTGAAAATATTCTCTAAAGTATCCTTATTAATTGCAGCTAAAATTATAAATGATGTACATAACCGCGTTAACATTGAAAACAGTGTCAGACAATTGATTTCTTCTTCTCCTCTTAAATATTAGTTCATATTGTGTTACCTTCTTATATTAAATTTTAACTTCAAGACAAGCTGGCTAAGTATGTCATCTCAAACAAAACCAAAGGTATTTTTACATTTTTATTTGTCTGTCTAAGCATAGAAAGCAAAAAAGAACTGTAGGATGAAACTTTCGGTCGAGTATTTACGATATCTCAAAAAAACGCTTCCGTAATCGTACGAGAAGGGACTTCAGAGTTAATGACATGCATCCCAAACCAATGGAGGTCGATATGTTAGAAGAAACCATGCTTTGGGAAGACGGCATTGCACAATCGCCAATGGCGTCTGTAATTTTGGTACAGACACTATGGAGTGTTGATTAATTTTAAAATGTATGAACAGTTTTGAACAAGTAAAGAGCACATCGATGAACATTGTCATGATGAATTTTTTGTTGTAAATATGCAAAAATATTAGAAATATTAAAAATCGTCTAAAGAAGCAAAAAAACAAAACTGGCTTTAATGCTTATTGAATATATTGTTGCTAAGGCAATTTTTACTTTTCTTACATGCTTATCATGGTTGTATATGTAGCTAAACGAATTTATGTACCTATATCTTATTTTATCAATTTTTAAATCTAGCAGAGAAATGCTAGCTAAAAATCAATATCAAATAATTGTTAATAAAAAAAATAAAAAAATTCATATTGTTCTTTATAAAAGTATAGTTTTTTAATACTTTTAAGAAGTCGTCACTATAAAATTCTGATACCAAATTTCTTCGAACCGAGTAGTTGAGTGTACATCCGTTTGTGTGCGTTGCTTAACACTCAAAAGCGGAAGTAAGCGCCGTGTGCTGCGGTCGAGGATGAGCGGAGTTAAAGCAGTGGAGGAGGGGAAGGAAGGGGAAAGGGAATATTGGGAATGGAGGGGAAGGGGACAGGAAGCGGCTGAAGTTTGTTTTCTTGCGGCCCCATGACTGGCACTTCTGTCTGGTGCTGCTGCCAGTGCTTCTACTGCTGCTGCTGCTATTTCTGCTGCAGTGACAGCAAAAACCAAGAAGAGACGGCAGCCCACGAACTCGAAGATGGCAGCAGGTGGAAGTCGGCAGGATAAAGCCTGCAGGACGAAGCCAGCAGGTGGTGGTAGGTAGTAGCATCAGGCATCAGGCAGAAGGTAGAAGGCAACAGGACAGGTGTGCTGCACTAACCGACACAAAAATATCACTTTAAAGTTTGCCAGTGAGTGCTGTCGTCTGTGTTGGTTTTTGACATGAAATTGCATTACATTTCACACGGAAACAAGTTGCAAGGGTGTTGGTTGCAATGAGTTGGCTCTGCAGCTTTGAACATTGTCTTATTTTTATGCCAACTGTCGTTCGGTTTGCCGAGTGAAGTGTACAAATTAGTTGGCCTTGTCACAACCAGCCAGCCAGCAGAAGCAGCAGCAGCAGCAGCAGCGAGTAGCCAACAATAGCAACAATAAGAGCACAGCAACAACTCACTTTTGTCTGGCATCCTTAAGCTACTTTTCATCGATCCGCTCAGCAATTACGTGCAGCGTTCTCTCTACGGAAACAATTTATCAGACTGGGCAAACGACCCGAGCTGCTTTCCTCGCCGAAGGAAACAAAAAACTCCTGGAGGAGGAGAAACACGAAAACGAAGCACGAAAAATGAAAACAAGGACCCCGGCCACTTTTACCGAGCAGAATGTATGCCCAAAGTGCATGGCAAAGTAAATTTTATTTAACGGCAGCAACAAACAAACAAAGTGGGCAACATTTCGCCAAGAGTTATGGTTGGAAATTTGAGATACTCTTTAACTATACAGTGCGTCCAAATGAAATCATAAGGAAAATAATTTGAAGACTGAAGGCTCTGAAGAATTCAATGTTTAATAAACTAATTAGACCCTTTTTATTAATTAAATATTTAATTTTTACGACTTGCTTAAAATGCATCACATGTTGCTTGACTGTTGTCTTAATTATTTTATGCTCTACAAAAATTAATGCTTAGCTATCTACTCTTTGAGAAGACACCACTTATTTTCGTTACCCTTCCAAAAACCAAAAATTTTGCGACTACTTAATTTGGTAAGTTGTTATAACCCAACCTTAAATAAACCTACAAAGAGAGGCCTTGAATTGCGTGTGGGAAATGCTAAACATCAGTGCAAAACATCGCCCGGGGCCAATGAACTATATTAAGAAACGCCCATGCTTAGGTTATATTTATATATACTAGTATACAGTATACGATCCAAACCCATTCCAGTTCGCTCACCTCATTCGGTTGCTGCCAAATCGTCACATCATTACTTATAGTCCGGCAAAATATAGTGTTTTGTGTCGGGCTTAGCCTAAAAATAGACTGACTCTGGCCAAATTGAAAACGTTTCGGCTAAAATGTACTTAACCAAGCAGGCTAACCGGCCAAGATCCCCGCCAACCCTTCGCCATTGACTGACAGGAGCCAGTGTTGAAATTTATTGTGCTAAGCAAACGGGCAATTTACCAAACTGCAATTGTCGGAGGAAGCCGAAGGATTCGTGGTTGCAACAACGAGCCAAGGAGCGCGCTGTGTCTAATCGTTGCGCTAAATTAACACGTATACGCCATGTGGCCGCCCAAGATTTTTGTCTGCTTGGCAGTTGAAGAGCTTTAGGTTGGTACTATAAAACTGTAGAGAGCTTTGCTGTGTATTTAAATAAATATAAATAAAATTTCTATTTAATTTGTAAGCATAAAACATTCATGATATAAAAAATACTTTAGAATACACTTTAAAGCGGGAATTTTTTTTTTATAAAGGAAATATACTCTATACCTGCATTAAAGAGGATAACTAAGACAAATATTTTTTGTGTATGTTATGTTATGTATGTTGTATGTTATGAATTTGAAATGCAAATCGAAGTAAATTCCTCGCTTTTGTCATATAATTCCCATTAAATATTTATATATTGTATTGTGTCATAACCGGTTTTTATTATTTGAAATAACAAAGTAAAATAATTTTTAACTTGTACTTAAATTTCATTGACTGCAACTTTACCGCCATATTTATTTCCCTTGTCTCTTTTGGTTTATCGATTTGATATAGTAATTTCAGGTCGAGTACCGGATATTTTATAGTCGAAAACTCTCGCCATGTTTTCCATGGCAGTGCTCACGTTTTATGGGCCACAATTTCACAGTTAGCCAAGTTAGCCAAGTGGAGGTGCCAATATTGTTGTAAACTGCTGATAGTTGCCGCTGCTGCCAGTGTTGCTGTTGCCTGGCAAAGTGCAATGCGCCAAATGCGATTGCCATTTGCTCCGCAGCTCGTTTTGCCATTTTTTTTCGCCCTTATTCGCCCCTTTTTTTCCCCCAGTTCCCAGTGCTCCATGGGGAGTTCTCATTTCTGCTCCATTTTTATTGCATTTCATTCGCTTTTCGCCACTCAGCAACAGCAACAGCAGCAGAAGCAGAAGCATCGGCGAGCGAAATGCGAAATACATTTTTAGTTTTCTAATCGACGCGCGTTCATCGCATAAAAATAATGCAATAAACGATAATCCAAACGAAGCCAGCTGCATTTCTGGTTCGACTTTTGTTCGGTGGCTCGATAATGTCTTGTTTATGGTTTGGGGGTCGAAGTGAGAAGAATCTGGGCAGGAATGATGGCTTTTATCGAAATACTCTTTCAAATGTGGGGGACCAAAAACCACATAGGAAGAAATTTCCACTTAATCGATCTGCAGCTGAGCAATTGCCATTCGGAGCTTATTTACAAGGAAACAAAATATACAGATTAATTGTATTTAAGTAATGTAACAATATTAAGAATTGAGCTGGCAATAGCAATTATTAAAGTATCAATGGATTTTAATTTCATGAAAATGTTTTGAGTTACATAACCAACTTCAAATCTCAAACAAATAAGCTTTAAAGAGTATTATGATTTTAATTTTCATTTGACATATTTTTTGATCTTAAATAATAAATTTAATGTAAAACTGAAATATAAACCTATACATAAAATGTCATCGCTCAATCGAATCGCATTAAACAAAATGAGACGAAATATAATTTAATTGGAATTTAAAGCAGTTCCAGCTCATTTGCATTCAAATAAGCCAATTGCCAGTGACATTGAACTCTCTCCTTCAGTTCGGCTTCAATTTGTTCGAAATTCCCGGGGAGCTGGAATCGAGTCCCATTTCAACTTAAAGTTCAGACCGCTCGGGCATTTGGCATTCATGGCGCATTTAATGAACTTTGGCGACAGGCAACCAGCCAGGCATTCAGGCAATTCAGGTAACAGAGCAGGTGAACGGGGCCCAAAACAGCTGAGAGCCATTTGAAGGAGCCAGGAGCTTCTGGGAATGATAAACGGCTCGACTGATAGAGCTAAGCAACCTGAATGAGGTGGGGTATATTTTTTATTCTGTCCCTTGGTTGTTTGTTTGTTTTTTTTCTTCTGCCTTCGTTTTCCACGCGAAATTTAACAACACAATAAAACACATCAAATAAATTTGCGCTGAAATTTTGCTTATCGGCGGGGCGTGGCAGGGGATTGGAGGACGTTTAAGCGGGAGATTTAATGGCAACTTGATAAGCAGACAGCCAGAAGTCGCTTTAAACTCATGGTAATAAACTCAGCGAGCCGCGAAGCTGTTTTGAAAATCTAAATAGACTCGCCAGAGCAACTTGAATTTATTTCCTCCCGGAAAAAGTTAAGAGTTAACAGAAAAAAACAATAAAAAAAAAAAAAGAATTTACGGAGCGGGGAAAACAAAGAGTAGAAATAATACCGCCGCATGCATAATTTCGAATGGTTTTTCGGCGTCGCGGTGGCCACATTATGCAACATTCCTTTTAGCACTCACACACACACACAGACAGCCGTGGAAAACCCAACCCCTTACCGCATGCTCATTATGATAATAAAATGCTGAGCGGCACGGCGATATGGCCGAAAGGGGGCGTGGCATGGCGGGAGGTCGGGGGCAGATCTGCGTGGGAAATTTCCACGGTCCTCGACGGTCAAAGCCCACAACAACAATTAAAACGTTATTAAGCGGCCGACGGAGAAAAAATAGAAATTATGCAAGGATGGGCGGCAAGGACTCGCGAGGAAATGGCGGACCACAAAACAGATACAATGAAAGGTAGAAAAGGTAAAAAAACGAGCAGCAAATAAATGACAATGCGGTAAAAAATGATAGTGAATTTGTGGCCAAGAATGTGGACAAAAGGCAGCTCTGCTAATGAATGTGTGGGCTAAATAGAAAGGTACTTTTTTTAGCATGTGTGTCTAAATTACATGATACAGTAACCAATCAATACGACGATCTGCCAAATAAATTAAAAAGAGAATAAGAGAATAATTAAAAAAAGAATATAAGAGAAGAAGTTGATGACTAAATAAATATTGATAATA